TTACCCATTTTAATGAGATTTGGGTAAAATTACCTAAATTCATTTACCATTTTACATGAAATAGTATTATCCATTGTTACTGTTGTTCCTTGAACTGTTTTGTTTTTTGAGACAGGGCTTCTCTGTGTAACCCTGGCTGTCTTGGAACTCATCTGTAGACCAGGCTGGCCTAGAACTCACTCTGCCTCTGGAGTACTGGTATTAAAGGCATGTGCCATCACCACCTGGCTTGTTCCTTGGACTACTGCAAGTGTATAAAAGTTCATGGTGCATCACAATCTTTTCAAGAGCTTTTTTAAAAGTTTGTTTGTTTTGCATTTCCTAAGCTTAGATATATTAGTTATCAGACATAGAGTATAATCTATGGAATAGCCACAGAAATATTTAAATGTGGTATTTGAAGCCTATCAGATAGTTTTGCTATATTGCAAATATTTTACAAATGAAACTTGATAGTCTTTATTTCTAATACATTTTGATAGACCTGTGTGAATCTTTTGTGGCACTCTTGGGGTATGTCATGTTTTGATTTTACTTTGCATATATTCTTTCGAAGCTAGAATTTACCAAGGCTTCCCCTCCACAGCAGTGGTGGTATTCACTTCCATTTGGTATTTTCTTTCCCTTCAAGTTTATTTGTCATTTGTGTCCAAACAAACTATTAACACCTTTGAGTTGTCTTCCTTGTAGATACTGACAAAATCTCTGTTATTCTCCAGCTTTAAAATTCCAAGCCAAAACATTTAAGGGTTACAGTGGACTACATTGTCTGACATGTAGCAATTAGTGACTTGTTACCATCAAATCTTACAAGTGGCCAGACAAAGTTCAGCTGTACCATAAATGTCAAACCCACACACAAACTCAGAGAGCTAATGCAATCATTAATAGTTTTATGTTAATACATAAAGAGTAGTGGTTCTGATAGATTAGATTAAATGAAATATATTATTAAAATTCAATTTCATGTTTTTCTTTACCTTTAAACACAGTCACTAGAAAATGAAATTTCCTCTTGTAGCTCATATTGTATATAAATTGTTTAGAGTTGCCCTTAAAGATCACAGATGAAGGGACATATTTAAGTCCCAGAAATTTATCATAATAAAACTAACTTTTAAGGATGTGTATGATAAAATGATTTGATCACTTGATGTGCAAAGACATTGAGGATTAACTTTTGGTAAATTTTCATCCAGGATGAAAATCTAAGAGAAGAATTCATTTGGCTAGCCCCAACCAAATTTAATATTGTGCTGTTTTTTTTTCTTAAAATTCTAGGTAATTTTACCTTTTGATTTTTTGTCAATATTGTTTCTAAAGTGATGAAGTTATGAGAGTGTCTTTGCTTTGTCTTTTGCTATGTCTAGGGAATTAAATTCCATAGATAGCTACTCATAGGCTTATTATGGCAAAGCCTTCCTAGTGAATCCAGTCTTCAAGCTATTCCCTGGATGTTGCACTTGTTAGCATTACTGTGTCTTCCACTTGTCTCTATTTAGATTTCTATGGAGCCTTTGGACTTAGTCTCCCATTCCCACTTTTTATGACTCTTCAGTTCATTTGCCATATTCTAAAGTTGTCTTTAAAACAATCACTTAAAGTTAGTCTGTTGCTTTTCTACTTGAAACTGTCCCCATCACTTTAGGGGAAAACAAATTTGAAATTTCTTAAATGGCCTATACTACCATCAGACTCATTCCAGAACTGTCTGTCTTTCTTGGTTATCCCATTTTTCTGTGTCGAGCATGTTCATCTTCTATTTTTTTGTGAAGGTTTTTGCCTAATTTCTCTGCAGCATCCAGGCCTTTCCTCTTGATTGATTGTCAAATTTCCAGAGAAAGAAATTCTTCCTGGTCTTCATTAAATGTATTTCATTCCTAGCCAAGAGACTCTCAGTGTGTAATCTTAAACCATCTAGGAAGCCACATCCCTGATCAAAACCACCCATTCACCAGCCCTTCCTTGAGCTTTCCAAGGTTCATGATAGGTGAGCCCAAAGCTTTCTTGCCCAAAGCTTCATAGATTTTGCTCATTTTTCTGAATCTCTGAAAAAGATATTTATGTACAAATCAGTACTTGGGAATAATAGTTGGTTGGATTTCTCAGTCATGGTATGCTTTGTGTATTTTAACATAAGCTGTGAAGAAGGTTGAAGCATCTCCCTTTATCCTCAGCTCTCTTTCCCTCTATTCTTTCTCTTCCTTTGTGACAGGATCTCCTGTAGTCTAGACTGCCCTAGAAGTCACTCTGTAGCTGAGGATGACCTTGGATTCCTGATTCTTCTGCCTCCACCTCTGCCCTAGTTAACAATAACTCTCGACTTGACAACCTAGAATCTCAATTACTACTTTTTTTTTTTTTAAATCTGGTTGATCAGACCTACTGTACCCAACAATCCCATATATACATATATAATTTATATATATAATTTATCCTTATTTTGAAAATTGCTTAATGGTAAAGGGTATCAGCCTTCAATTTAACATTTAAAAAAGATGACATCATTATTTTGATATGGACATACTAATGTTACTAATAGTGTGGAAGCTGGAGCTACTGTGTCAGACAAATTATTCCATTTATTGTTCTACACTACTCTTCTTTGCTTTTATGTCTTAGATATCTTGGAAAGCATGATTTAAAAAAATATCTGGAATGAATAGAACCCCAGTCCCTAGCCATACAAGCCTAAGAATGTAATCACAGTGTGTATGCGTCCTCACAATCTCCCTAAATTAACATCATATCTGATTTTCATTGCATGCTAGTAGAAGTCTGCCTATTCCAAGAACTACAAAACAATCTATAGGATGTTTAAGTTATGTAGTATAATTAGTTTGAAAATAGATAGTACAATCATAGAGCTACACTATTGGTAAGAAATTATAACCTATACAATTCTAATTTAATTAGCATTTCCAGATATCCTAATAAACGAATGCTCAAAAAAAACCCAAAAATAAACAACAAACACAAACAAACAAACAAACAAAAATCCAGTTCCTCTGTGGCTTTGTCTGTGAGGGGTTGCCTTAATTGTCTTGATTGATGTAAGTGGGCTATGCATACTGTGGGTGGTGCTGTTTTCTGGTTAGGAAGTCCTGGGTTGTGTAAGAAAAGTAGTCAACCATGGACAAGGGAGAGAGCAAATGAGTAAGTCAGCATGCAACATTCCTCCATGGTTCCTTCTTCATGTTCCTGCCTTGCATTTCTTCACCTGCATCCCTCAGTGAGGGATTGTGACCAGTAAATGTAAGCCACATAAACTCTTTCCTCCTCAAGTTGTTGCCCATTAGAGTGTTTACAGGGCAACAGAATGAATCTGGAACAGCCTCTCAAGTGTTGGGTCAGGATTCCTACCTTAGTTGCCATCTTTCCTTGGGACCAAATATTCAAATGTCTGAGACCATGGCAAACAAACTACTGCATAGATGCACACAAAATAAATAAATAAATGGTTAAATAAAGAAATGAAAGATGTAATAAAATGTTATCTTTAAAATACTAAAAAAATCATGTTAGGTTACTTTCAAATTTATGTGAATGCGTAATACTTTTGTTAAGAAGTGCACATATTTTTTTTTTACTATGTAATTGTTAAATCATCCCTAGGAGTAGAGTTTTGAAATGAAAAAATGGAGTTCAGTGATTCAGTCCAGATCCCATTCTTTTGGTGTTGGATTGGGTCTGTGTCAGGTGTGTTTTGACAGGTTTTACTTCATTGCCTCTCTCCCTCCACCCATATTGTTTGGAATCCTCTCTAAAGATAAGGCATAACACAAGTGTGACTCATTGACCACACACTGTATGTGGAAGTTCTGGTTAAGGATTCCAGGCAGGAGAAACAACAGTAGAAGCAAAGGTGGAATAATACAACTAAAATGGTGAGGACAATGGGCACTTATCATTTAAAAACTCGTATTTCATTTCCAGTATGAAAACTATATTTTTAAAGAAGCATGCACCCAATCCTAATCAGAAATGTAAGATTTTTTGTCACAATTTCCCCAGTTATCTATTGTGATAACCACCCAGTCAAACAGGAAGTCTACATTAAATTTTAAAATGACTTTAATGCTCAAATTGAACATAGATTACATGAAGTAAGGAATATCCCAGGAACAAACAAATTCATGTTAATTATCATAATTACATTTAAGCATGAAGAAACTCAATGTCATTGAAGATATAATTTCTTAACATCTGTGTATAAAGGTCATTTAGGAGTCACTGTTTTCTAACAATTCGATTATTTAAAAATGCCACTGTAGGCTGCTGATTTTCAAAAACATTTTGGAACATTTAAGAAAACAACTGTATTTATGTGAACCTCTATTTCTCAATATCAGAAATGGGAATACCCGAGAGTAAAGTGAAAAACCTGAGAAGAAAACCATAGTAAAGGCTTCACTAAGCCTACAAGGTGCTTTTCTCTGCTCTGAAGCCTGCCACAAGGCCACAGGGAGAGCTCTCGTGGATCTTGTTCCTGGCCATGGCTTTGTTTCTATCGCAGATCTTGGAGGTGGAGAATAACAGGTATAGTTTTCATTCTTGCACTTGGCCAGCTTGTGTGTATATTTATATTTGGTTCTGGCAGAAAATTTCTGTATGAAACTCACAAATTATGAAAACTCTTTTCCTTGAGTGTATTTTAAAAGCGTAAAGATGTAGACAAAAAACATTGATGTCAAATGGGGAGTATAAATTTCAGCATCCTGGGGTTTTGTCTTAGCGATGTCTCTCCCCCCTTCCCCCATTCCCCTGTCATAGAGAGAGAGAGAGAGAGAGAGAGAGAGAGAGAAGAGAGAGAGAACTGAACCTACAGGCTTCCATCCAAGAATTCATGAATAGTTTAACAAAGAAAGGGCAGAGCTATTGAGTAATCCAGGCTCATTAATTGTGTACTGGCCAGGAGGATCTGACTTTAAATCATTAATGCAGGCAACATTTCTCTCTAGAGCCATCAATGTGATTCTACTGCATGAAAAAATGTAATAATGATGGATTTGCTTTTCTTTTCTCTTTTACTTCTTGTTGGAACTTCAGAGACACAGGTATTTCATTTATACTCTTAAAAAATAAGGGGCTAAGTAAAAGACTGTAATGTTTTGAAGATGTCATTGTTTCCTTATTGACAAAGAGGAAGAGCTGGCATAGGTAGAAATATTGATTCACACTTTGATAACAGAGCATTTTGTAAGTTTTCATCTCATTATATGTTACACAGTAAACAGTGATATGATACAGCAAATTCATAGTTTGTAATGATATGGAACTTTGTTTTGAAATTTTGAGTAGTACAGTTATGTAGAAACGTTTTTAACTATTCAAATGATGAGAGATTTATTATTTTAACTTGCTTTTCAGAAATAATGCAGTGTTTACTCTTGGCATTCTAGGTTGATGTTTCCAATGATGTTTATGGCACTGGGTATGATGTAACGCTCTCTTCAATTTCTGCTACAACATATAGCTCACCTGTGAGTAGAACAGTGACAACAAACGTGACAAGTGAGTCCATGCTTTAAATTCCTTTTAAAAGTTGTTTACTCGTTATAACTCTGTTGGATAGAAATACTTACATGGGCGGCATACACATTGTATGTGTGAAATCAGTATAGAGTAATTGAAGTCAAATGGAAAGTTGAGAAAATGTTTAGAACTTGCCTTCCCTGGGCTCTTTTGTTTCCTTCACTTTCAAAGAGAAGAGGTAATTATATTTGCCTGTGAAGTGGATCAGAGCAATTGTTAATGGTGACATTTGGATTATTCCACCCAAGGCTGTTTTTTCCTTTGTTAGTTCTTGCAGGTAAGCCTTGTATTAACAAATTCTTTCAAAAAATGACTTGGCATCAAAAGTTTATTTGGCATGCAGTGTTTAGCAGCATTCCATTTTTTACATTCTTACAAAAGAATGTTTGTGGTATTACCTCAAAGAATTTATTTCTTAGTCTTTTTTTTTAATAGCAAAGTTCTAGGAAGAAGAAATTTATACTGTTTTCTGGGAACTTCAAAATGTTTACATATATAGATACTTTGCTTTTACTTTTTGATGGAAATAAAATAATCACTTGATTATTAATAATGTGAATTTTAAAAAAAAATAGAACCAGGGCCTCCAGTCTTCCTAGCTGGCGAGAGAGTTGGATCTGCTGGGATTCTTCTTTCGTGGAATACCCCGCCTAATCCAAATGGAAGGATCCTATCTTATGTTGTTAAGTACAAAGAAGTATGCCCGTGGATGCAGACAGCATACACCCGAGCGAGAGCAAAACCAGACAGTCTGGAGGTTCTTCTCACTAACCTTAACCCTGGAACGACATATGAGATTAAGGTAAATATTTTGTGAGTGGATGCTTAGTATTAAGTGGTAAATCCATGAGAAAAGTGCAAGAGTTTTTGTTCACCTTGTAAGTCTGATAGCTGAATGTGCTGAAGAGTGACAAGCTACATCTGTTCAACACCCAACTGCAAACCTGGTGAAGTAATTGTAACCCTCCTCTTCATATCTAAGTGGACCAATATTTACATATTATCCATTTTGAAAAGCTTTAGCTTAATATCTTCTATGGAAAGGAAATTAAGTTTAAATTCAATGCTTCAGGTTTCAAAGTGACAATATTACATGCCACTTATTTATTATTTTAAATTTTTTGCCGTGCAAGGATGGAACCCAGAGTCTTGTATATGTTAGGTAAAATGCTCAACCACCAGTCCACTTCCCCAGACTAAAACAGAGTTCTTTTCATCAGCATTTAAATTTAACATTGGTATTTTCTTCTAAACCTCTGGAACCTGAATGTACATTGCTAAACATTGGAATAATGGATTGAAAACAATTGAAGATACAGCTTTACTAAAACTAATGAATCTAATTCTATTTCACTTTTATTTACTGAACTCTTAGTTGCTTTTGTATTTCCAAAAGTGTGTGATGATTTACAACATCAACAATTGAAAATTTAATGTTTATTTGAATACTAAGTAAAGATGAACTTAAACAAAACAATACTATATTAGATTAAATAGAAATTTTAGTAGTTAGGGATAGCTATGACATTTGCAGTTGAGAAAGTAAAGAACAGAGGCATCCTCTTGGCTCCTCACTATTTTGAACATAATGTACATGCTTTGTTTTCTTTAAAAAGATACGTATGTATGTATGTATGTATGTATGTATGTATGTATGTATGTATTGTGTCATATGGGGGTGTGTGTTCCAGGGGATGTGCATGTTATGGTATAAGGGACAATTTGTGGGAGTTGAGTCTTTTCTTCTACCTCCTGTGTTACAGATCTCTAACTCAGGTTGTCAGGCTTGGTAACAAAGTCCTTACCTTCTGAGCCATCTCACTAGCCCTTGACTTTTCTATGAGTCTTAAAGCTAAGTGAATATGTTGAAGAAAATATTTAAGGGCTGAGTATGTGGCATTACTAACTGTGGTGGCCTTCCTTGATGAGAAGACTCAGTAGGGGAGTTTTTGTAAGAAAAGTTTTGACACCTGAAAATTGCAAAATGTATTTTCTAGAAACATACATATATTTAGGTTGACTAGCATCACAACATGTACTCCAGAGTGTAATAAATAAATAAATAAATATTAAATTTAACAGGATATAAGAAATTATTGTTGAGAACAAGTTGGTTTTCCCAGGCTAGTTCTGCTTAGATCTATTTTTATAGCTTTGCATTTTATTTCTCTGAATGTTGTCATTTCCATCTTACTAAGAGGCCTGTAGTCTATGTTTCATCTCACACTTTGTAAATCACTGCTGTGACATTTGCTCTCTTCAAATAAATGTCAGCCATGATGAATTCCAAAGGGAATTTGGTATGGTACATTTGATATCTTCAGAATAAGTAACACCTATGGGGAAAGCCTGTGAAGCACTCTATGTATATTATTTCAGTTAGTCTCTGAAAAAACCCTGTGACATAGGTAAATTACTATCCCCAGTTAAATATGAGAAAAACATGTGCCTTAGAAGAGTTAAGTAAATTACCTAAAGTACCCCATCTGGCAAGTGGGAGCACTACAAAATTGTTGGGGTCCACTCATGGCATTTTGTCATGGCTTAGGAGTCTTGCTGCCATTTCCAGGGTCTTCTCTGCCCATTCTTCTACCTCACTAAATCATGCAAGTAAAAAATAATTGTGCCCTTGTTAAATTTTGACTCTATGTACTCAAGCCAACTTATTTTTCGATGATACTGTTTCCTGAGTACTCATTTGCCCAAATGTAGAGTGTGAATCTTAATGTCTGTTGCCATACAAATAGTCTGTCCTACTAGTGTAGCACATGCAGTTGGTAAAGACTGAGCTTTGGAAAAATATTTCAACTGAATTCATGTTCTATGATTATTTCCTTTATGAACATGGCCAAGTCTTTTGATGTCTCACCCTGTTTTGCCATCTGAAGGATGTTGGCTGCACTTAGCTCCTAGTTTGATTATATGCCCCCTCCCTCCTCACCCACCCTTGTCACTTTCTATTATGAGATTATTTTAAGAAGTACAGGGAAGTCCTTTTAGAGCTTACCTTGTGGGGAAGTGACCGTTTTATCATTTCAGATTCTGTGTATTTAGAAAGCAAAGAGTTTGAATATCAAACCCTTGATCTGTTTCAGGTTGCTGCCGAAAACAGCGCTGGCATTGGAGTGTTTAGTGACCCATTTCTTTTCCAAACTGCAGAAAGTGGTAATTTCCTAAGGCATTAATTCTAGGTTTATCATGAGTTTTTATCATTTAAAAAATGCAACTTAATGAAAATATGATGCAAACTGTAAAATTATTGAGGATGCCTTTTCAATTCCTTTTAGCTATTTTGGGGCAGTAAAAGCATTCTTAAAAATGAAATTCTTCTTTCTAATCACAACAGCTATTTAGTATAAGGTTGGTGGCAGAATGTTTGAAAGCACAAGAAAAATAGAATAAAAAGTCATTTATTGTCTTGTCAGGCAAAGCAGCTCTATTTTGATTTAATTTATTTTAAGAAAAGTTCTTTTTTCGGCAGCCTAGGCTAGCGTTGAAGTCATTATGCCATCTAGGTTGGCCTCATATTTAGGATCTCCTGTATTAAGTGTCCTGCCAGCTGGGCTTACAAGTAGGTACCATCATGGCCGGCTTATAAAACACCTCTATGAATATTTTGGTGCACTGATGGCTCATCTTTTTTTCCCCATGCATATATATTCCTGTGACTATATAATGATGTAAATAGGCTTTGTCAAGTGGGCCTCTATATATCTTTTCCTATTAGCACTAGTGATAAGCGTTTGGTGACATCAGACATGAAAATGCAGACTTCAGTGATTAACATATCATTCATAAAACTCAGCCATTACCAAACCAATTGACACATCCCCTTCTTCCTGTGGCTGGGAGGAATCTTGATGTCATCTTCAATTCCTCCTTCCAAGTAATGTCTAAACCTACCAGCAGCTTCTAGCACTTTAATAAAATGTATCCAGTGTATTAACCCACACTGCAGTCCTTGCTGCCCAACCCATTTTCATTTCCTCATAAGATGACTAAAATAAACTTCTAACCCAATTAGAATAAAATAAAAACATAGAAAAGGTATTGCCAATTAACAAATATTTTCCATGGGTCTTATATTGGAATGGGATAAGATAAGCAAATATGTGAATTAATATGCCAGGTAGATTATAAGACTATACAATAACTTATATGATTTTTGAAATTATGGATGCTAGATATGTCTAAGTAATTCTCCCAATTGCTAAGCATAATTTAGCATGGGTCCTGGTATATAAAGAGGATAAAACAGTCACTGTAGAAAAAAGTGTATTATGTTCATTAATCAAGGTTTAATAGATATTAAATTCTATGGAGTACATGGGATGTGTAATTATTAAGAGAAGGGAAGTTTGTTTTCTTATAAGAACAGTAGTCCTAAGAGATGTACATACAGATAAATCAATGACACTGAGAGGAATGAATGCTATTCTACCTACCAACATTAAAAGCCCAGGACTTAACTCCCTAGGGAGCTTTGTTCTCTTTTTTTTTTTCAAGAAAATTTAAAATTTATTTCTGATTTAAATATTAAAGGAAGAACTTACACTTCAATGTCTAAAAAGATATGTATTAAAAATGGAAGTCTTGATTTGTGGGACTTTGGGTACTTTATAGTAAACCTATAGTTGGATCAAGATGCACAAATTCTCTCTCTACATAATCTCCAAATATTGGAGCTGGCACATGCAATAGACAAGCAGAATATTTAAATAGAGAAGACACTCCAAGCACAGAGAGGAAACAACGAGGATTAATTTTCAAACGCAGTGAAACTTCAAGAGGGATATACACCAGAAGTATTTCATTGAAGCAAAATAATGTTAGAACAAGTAAATATAAACATCCTTCTTCAAGGGAGGTTGTATTCCAGACTTGACAGATTGTTATTTGATTAATGTTTATCACTTACTGTTTTGGAAACAAAGCTTAGATCTTAATGTGCAAATTCCACTTCGCTTCATTTGCTCATTTCTCTTAAGGCACCACTGAAAATGCTTCAGTTTGTGTGCAATCTGTTATTGGTGTATAAATATTTAAGGGATATTCATAAAATATATAATTATAATGAGAATATTTTAATGATTAATATACATGAAAAAACACTACATTTTATACATTTAACAACCGTTTTTCCTTTGTTTTATTGTATTTTGTATACTCCAATAATTAAATTTAAATGTTTAACAAACATTAAATTTCAACTCCATTTCATTAATTCACCTTAAAGAAAATTTTCCACTTATTATTTATCTATTATATATTATTGTTATCTATCTATCTATCTATCTATCATCTATCTATTTACTTATTTATCTATTATCTATTAGTAATCATTCTCAATAACTGTGGTAATATACTTTTGTCATTAAAATGCATTTTGGCTTGGAATTTCTTCATTCTTATTGTGTAATTTGTATTGAATCTCAGGACCCAACTTCTTGCATAATTTACACAGCCTTCTTTTACAAATCAGATTTTGGTGTTCTTTTGATACAGTGAAACCTATACTCTAGCCATTTGGCATTTTAATACCAGTCACCATCATTGTTAGATGTTATCTTTCTTCAAGAATTTTTGTTTTATTTTTCAATCTGAAAGATCTTGATTATTTATTTGCATATTTAACCTAATTTACACAGTTTATTTTTACACTAATATCATGTAGTTGTCGATGAAACTAAACATACAGACTATCGTTATAGATAATTAATAATAGTATGATATTTGGGGACAGGTTCATTTTGAGGGTATATAAAAAGTCAAAATAAGAAAAAACATCAACTATTATTTGGATATCTATCCACTTGATGTTAGGCACTAGATGTTTATAAACATCTTAGATATGAATTTTGTGTAGTTTGGCTATGAGTTTGAATTTATCCCTTTCCCTCAACTTCTAGGGTATCTACATAGTTCTAAAATACTGAAGGAAGTAAAATTTTAGACCATGTTTGTTTGTATATTTACAAAAACTATTGATTGAATAGTTTGCAAGTGTATTTGAAATGCTTCAATGAATTAGTGGATATGCTAGATCAATAGACCAATAGTTTTGAAATATGCAGATATGGTTCAAGTCCATTTTATAAAAAAATTTAAAGTGAAATGAATAAACATATATTTAGGAAGAAAACTGACTTTATTCAATGTATTACATATTTAACTTCATATTATGTGGAAATTAATATCTCTAAAGAACATAAACAGCATGTAAGTTTTACAAGTTTCCCTCTCCTCCAATCCCTGTTTACCCTAGCTCCAGGTAAAGTGGTCAATCTGACAGTCGAAGCCCTCAACTATTCTGCAGTAAACTTGATTTGGTATTTACCCCGGCAACCAAATGGCAAAATCACTAGCTTCAAGATTAGTGTCAAACATGCCAGAAGTGGCATAATAGTGAAGGATGTCTCCATCAAAGTTGAGGACATTTTGACCGGGAAATTGCCTGAATGTAACGTGAGTGTTGTACAACACATGTCCTCACATCAAAAGTTTTGTTAAGCTTATGTCTTCAAGATTTCATATTTTGAAAAAAAAATAGGTCAGAAGTGGTTACATTATTTGAAACTGTCTTGATTTTAGGGTGTGAATTAAAGATTGGAAGATAATATCTCTTAGGCAGATCTTGAAAGACTTCATTATTGGGGCAGTTTTTGGTTCAGCAGAGGAAAGTCAGATGGAGATAGGGTGTATGTGGTGGGCTGGGTATTTTAGTTGGAGTGGGGGTACTTTTTAAGACCCCGAGGTGTGAAAGTGTAGTTCCTACTGGAGTAGAGGCCATAAGTCCATGCGTTACACGAGAAGGTACCTGTAAGGGAATATATCATCAATCTTAGATTAAATGAGTGAGCTCTTTGGTGGCATATCTTTTGAAAATATTGTTATTTTTTTCATTGATGTGAAGCCTATGGAAATACTATGCTAATTGTGTTACTACCTATGGAGAAATAGCCAAGCAAAATTATTTTGTTTTAAATAGTTTAGAGAAGACTCAAGAATCTTTTGTTTCAAATTCCAATCTATTTTGAATACACACACACATGTATATGTATGTGTACCTTAATGTCTGGGAATGTTACTTTTTTATTGTTGATTTCCTTTATTTGAGTAATTATGATTTAAGAAATAATAGGAATGGTGAAGAACATAAATTGAAATTTTCTTAGGTCTTTTGCTCTATTGATTTTGCATGAAATTTAAAAATTCTTATTGATGATTTAGCTGTTGCTTTGCCTTCATTTTATGTTACTTTAAATTCTACACAGAATTTCAAGATTAAAGTACAATGGATATAATAGATATACTGTGTGCTAATATTATAGATATCAGTGACTATAATTAAAATTTAACATTTCTCCCTGAAGCTCAATGTTAAATTTCTCATGCACATTGAGAAATAATATTTATAGTGTAAAGAAAAAAATGGGTTATGCTTCTTATGTTTACCTAGAGATGTCATGTGATTATTCCTACTGCAATTTCCTTTACACCTTAGGAGAACAGTGAATCTTTTCTGTGGAGTACCTCCAGTCCCTCTCCAACCCTCAGTAGAGTCACGCCTCCCCTCCGCACTACACATTCATCCAGCACATTGGCACGGAATAAGATCAGCTCTGTGTGGAAAGAGCCCGTCAGTTTTGTGGTGACTCACCTGAGACCATATACGACATATCTCTTTGAAGTTTCAGCTGTTACAACTGAAGCAGGGTATATTGACAGTACTATTGTTAGGACACCAGAATCAGGTACGATTTGTTTTTATTAGAAAGGAAGAAGATGACCTGATGTTATTGATAGAATAACCTTTCTTCTGTCCATAGAATAGTTTTGTTAACCTGACTTTTTTGAGTACTCTTTCTCCCATATTAAATATTAGATGTCCACTGGGAATATCTTGAATGCCAAACTAAACATTTAAAAGGTAAAGAGGCTTGAAAGAGGGAATGCTTTAGTTAGTATGAGTGAAATTTATCAATCAATGCCCTCTGTAATTCTTCCTAATTGTCTTTGCTCTGCCAATGCATTTTAGTTATCTGTAGTCTTCCCACTGTCATTGGTATTACCAGATGTGCAAGATAGTACCTGAAATAGCAGAACTAATGTTTATCAACATTTTATTATCAGATTATAGCAGTGGATAAAATATATAATGGCTCATATCTTTATGCTCAGCATTTTTCTTGCTTGAAAAATGGAGGCAGTCATGGGACCTTCTGCATGTTGGTGTTTTAGGGTTAAATGAGTACAATTAGACATCATTAACATTATTCATTTTTAAGAGCTCATATTCCTAGGTATGATTTATTTATACATGTATTTATGTGGGTACCAATACAGTATATTAGTGTAGATATTATGAACCTGATACTTTAGTACACATCTTAACACAAAATAGAAGTCTGATATGAATGTTGTAATATAGCATCACGCATCAGATATGATTGGTAACTTTTGAGGATACTACAAGTAATTAATAAGTCAACTTCATCTTTTCATCCAAAGGCATACTATTTTTCCTTCCCATGTTAGTTCGAGCTTATTATTGTCTATGTTTAAATAACTATATTTGAATCATAGTATATTATTCTTTTGTATTCCATATACAATATAAAATAATTTCATGGAAATTATATAAAATGAAATTTATTGGACAAGAATTTTGAGTAAATACTCAGAGTTGTTCCTTAGAACAAATATAAATACCGATGTGAAAAAAGTCATTGTATGGGAAGGACTCACCCTCCCTGGGGAGCAGAAAGGATATGTGATAAGCAGGGTTTTGGTTGCGGGGGTGGTAAGGGAGGAGGGGAGGGAGTGGGAACTGGGATTGACATGTAAATCAATCTTGTTTCTAATTCAAATAAAAAATAAATAAAAGAAAAATGTAATTGTATGTAAGTTTGAAGGTATTTTTTCATAATATTTCTATCTGTATGTCCACAAGAAAGAGTTTCTCAAGCCAAATATCCACTTTGGTTGGAAATATTTATATATGTGTGATGAATATGTATATTATATATATTACATATGACTATGTATAACTAATATGTGTATCTCTACATTGGGATGATATAACATTGGAAAGGATTATATTACATAATTTGAAGGATGAAGTACATTACATCATCGTATACAGTACTAAGTACACTTAGAAAACAGTAAAAAGTTAATCTAACCAGTTCATGTGTCTTACTCAAATTCTACAACTCTAGACTGTTATGTTTTTCCATCAAGTTTAACATACGTTGCTTTTAGTGTGTTTTTTACATTGTAATATTTTCATATTGTACTATTTGTTTTTAACTATTTGTTTATATATTTGTCTTATATATTATATTCGTCTTCTCTATATTAATTTCAGTGCCTGAAGGACCACCACAAAACTGTGTAACAGGCAACGTAACAGGAAAGGCCTTTTCAATTTCGTGGGACCCACCAACTATTGTAACAGGGAAGTTTAGCTACAGAGTTGAATTATATGGACCATCAGGTAAGACTTAGTTCATTTTGCCTTTACATTTTAGAATAAGACCTATAAAATACGTGGATAATTTATAACTGTTAAAAGACACAAAGTCTCGAAAAGACCCCAAATTGATGTGAATAATAGAAAATTAATGGGGAGATCAAGTCCTGTAGATCTTTTGTCTAAAGCCACAAATGCATGAAAGTATGCTAAAGAGCTGTCCATGCTCTGTGTGGGGAAGAAAAGAACTAGAGACAGAGCTTCAGGAAAGTTTTAGAGATGACAGGCACCTTCCAGCATTTGAACCAGAAGACCTTGACTCATATTCAAAAGACTATTATGTCTAGACTGTGACAAATCAGGCTTCCATTAGGACAGAGCATTCACTTCTAATCAGTGCTCTCTGGACATACTACGAGGGATCTGCGTATTCTGTGCAATGTTGTTGTGACCTTAAATTTGCCATGAAAAGGTTACTCAAAGTGATATGGGTGTCTTTAAATGGTAACAAATTCTCTATCATATAAAGGAGCAGGACTTGAATATCCTCTTGTCAGAGGAAATAGAGGAGTTCTTATATACTGTGGGACATAAATTAAATAAAAATTTCTCACTGAATCAGAGATCCCAAAGCTCCTGTCAATATTTAATTCAAGCAATGATCAAATAACATAAACTTTTACATTGTTGTTTATTTGAAAGCACTTAAAAATCCCCTTAAAGTTGCAAATCCTTCCTTGTGAAACATCTATGGCAGGCATCTCATGAGTAGACTTATTTCTAAATAACTTCTACTTCTAAAAATATGAAACACATGAAGTTCCTAAAAGTAAAAGATAGCTCATCTCCTATACCTGGCTCCAGTGCAAACACACACACACACACACACACAGCATAGCACATAAGTACCCACTCATACACATCTTTTCTATTTGGTATATTTTTCAACTCTAGGATGACATATACATTCTTTTAATTGGAAGTTTGAATGTTGAAAAGCTCAAAGGAGTAGGAAGCAGGCATGAAAGTAAGAAGAGTTGACAAATTCATTTTTATTAGGAATAAATATATCTGAGTTGCTAAAAATGAGAAACAAAAGGAAAACGACATAAGAGAGGTGAAAATTGTTGAAAAGGCGGTTCTTATGGTAGAGGCAAGATCTTTTTCTTAAATACAGGGAATGGATTAAGATATGAATATTGTTTGTCTATAGAAATGATTCTTAACCTTCCTAATGCTGTGACCTTTTAAAATAGCTCCTCATATTGTGGTGACCATGAAATTATTTCGTTTCTATAATTTTCCTACTGTTATGAATAATAATGTAAATATTTCTGGAGATAAAAATATTTTCGCGGTTTGACAAAGGTGTCAATACCTACAGGTTGAGAACCACTGGTCTATGGTAAGGTAGACTATAACAGGGTGGGGGTGGGGAGTTGCTGGTGGGATTGTGCAGGCACACATTGTCTAATTGATTTTAAGTATTTCAATGTAATTGGAACTACCTGAGACCGAAGACTGGACAAAAGATTTTGGAGAAACCTTTGGAGAAAGTATGAAACAGTCATTGATAGGGCACCATTTTAGGACTCATTTGGAATGTAGTCAAGGTCCAAGTCATGGAAGTTAGAATGGGTTAGTTCATTTAAGTTTTATGTGAGGCAATTGGTGTTGACAATTACATTGAGTGGCGGGGGCATCAGTGATGAGGGTCCAAAGAAAGTAAAAGTATAGTTAGCAGCAAGATCCTGGACTTGGAGGTGTTAGTGAAATTAATGCTTTCTAATTAATTTAATGAGTAGCTGGAGTTCAGGTAGAATAACATGGCAGGAGATGGTTGTATGAAAATGAATTAATACATCCTTTGTAGCTATTGGTAATGACATTTATGATCAGAAAATTAGTCAAGAAGATGTTATAATTTAATGCTAATCTCTCAGGATAATAAAATCACCACATCTTAAAATGGTAGTATTGAGTTACACACCATGTACAGAATGAAAGTAGGTGAACTGAGGCTGGCTAATGTATATCATATTGACATGGGCTTGAAAACTGTGGACTTTATATAAGGAGACAGAGCAATGGTGCTCTCTGACCCTCCTGTGTTCTCCTCCAAACTCTGAGATCTTGAATTATATACACACACCATCATCCTCATCATCATTATATGCTGGGGATCTAACCAGAGCTTTGTGTGTGCTAGGCTAATAATATTGCAAATGAAGTATATTTTTAGCCACTGTTTCCCATTTAAGTACATTAAAAAATAAAATAGAAACTCAACAGGACTCTTCAATGTAAGAAAGGTTGTTTTAAGCACTGGAAGATCTTGTGTTGTTCCTACTGTTCAAATTTGCATTAAACTAAACAAAATATTTAAAATTATTCACTCAAGATAATAAATTTTAGTTTAACAGTTTTGTTATACTCCTTGCTTCTATACATTATATGAAATGATTGCATATTTATGCAACTAATCCATTGGTCTGGTCTGCTTTTTTTGCAGGGCGGATTTTGGATAATAGCACGAAAGACCTTAGATTTGCATTTACACACCTGACACCATTTACAATGTATGATGTTTATGTTGCTGCAGAAACTAGTGCAGGGGTTGGACCCAAGTCAAATCTTTCGGTATTTACCCCTCCAGATGGTAAGAACTTTCTCTTGTACAGAGTTAACACGATAGTTTCTTAAAAGCTTGTGAATTCTATTGAACTGGGAAAACATAATTTTAGAAGGAATTTGGTTTATGTCTATTTTAAATCCCCTAATTTTCCTTATGAAATTACTACCTACTTCATTAGCAGGCTTCACAAAGTAAGGAACCAGCAGCAAGGAGGACTAGAGAAGACTATGTGCACTGAAGGTGACAGAGATTCACAATGGCTTTTAGCAAAGCACCAAGTAGTCATAAATTAATCACACATTTAATATTGGTTAACAGTAGTATCAGGCAGACATGGAATGCCTTTTCTCACAAAAGTCACTTCTGGAGGTATCACTATATTCGTACCACCCAGAACAATGTATTTTGAAAATCAAAGGGTTATCTGGACTAGTAAGGGTTCCTGGTGGGAACAAATTACAAATTTTTCAGTGATTAAAGAAATTCTGAAAATAATATATCTCAAGAAATTATAAAATGTGTGCTTGTTAAGCGCCAATATTTTGGTGAAATCTATTGTTAAAGTATCATTTTAATATTATTATAAAGTATTATTTTTATATTATTATCAAGGACCATTTTCACACTCCATCCTATCCTTGCTCAATGGCTTTATTTCTGCTTCAATACAATTGTTGGCATGAAGGCAATCATGTTTCAGAGTAAACTAATACTTGAAAGAGTTTCCAGAACTTGTTTGTGTGGTAGCAAACATACAATAACTGGTAGGTTAAATATACATATATGTGCACACATCTTCTTCCTACACAATTAAATTGGCCATGCATTCACTACATTATCACTCATGGATTAGGCCATTAGAGGGCAGCAACTGTCAGGAAATTATGTCCATCTATCTCTTCAAAGAAAAAATTAAACCTTGATCTTATTTGGTTGTTGAATGAATGTAAAAAATATTATATTTATTGACATACAATGAAAATCTCTCTATATATGTTATATATTTATGTACAGTTTGAATATGAAGGTGAAAATGGGAATGTACACTAGTGTGGAAAAAGATTTCATGTTTTGATATTGAAGAGCCTTTGCTTTATGTGATTTTCCTAAAGTTTTCACTAATTCATTCCCACTAGTGCCTTGAGCATTTCCTAGAAAGTTGGATTTTTGCTTGGTTATGAAGCACAGCAGAGGGTTTTTTCCAACAACTATTTCACCCATTTTTTTCTTTTTAAAACATCTATTTGTGTGTGTGTGTGTGTGTGTGTGTGTGTGTGTGTGTGTGTGTGTGTGTGCCTGCCTCTGTGACAAGGGCATGTGTGAAGATGTTCAAGGAACAATTCTCTCAGGTGTGTGCTCTGGTTCTTTCTTTTTAGCTTTTTGTCCAAGGTCAAGCTTGGGTGATCCTGCTTACCTGCAAGTGCTCGTGGTAGAGCACGTATTTAGCACGAGTTAGAAACTTAGGTTCAATCTACAGCATGAAAATGATCAAAGCAAAACACAATTTAAAAACCAACAAAGCTATCACTTTTTTATTATAAGTCTTGATCTCTAGAATTTGATCAAGGCAAGGAATTAGATAACATGTTTCCAGAGACAATGCTACGTTGCTTCAACTGGATGTCACTTAAAATTTATTTTCTTTTATTTGTACATATTTTATTTACAAAATACATGAATCCTAAGGACCCTTGTCAAGAATTGTCACATGGGCTGTGTTTCACACCAAATTATCTTGAACGGATGACTCTTTCATTCATTATGAAAAGCAACTTGTCCTGTATTTCATCCTACCATCTCCATCAGCTATCTAGATCTTAGAGACTGCATCCTGGTGTCTCTTAGAGGGTATCCACTGGCTACAGGGTCTTTACAAAGGCTGGAAAAGCATGGATCTTACTGCTCAAACCTACCTTCCTTCATGGGATTTCATGATCATTCAGCTGCAGGAAGGCTTCCACAGGCCTCAGCAACTGCAAAGATGTTTTCAGCTTCTGACACTCATTAATCCCTCTCCCAATAATGAAATTATTCCATAAGAGAATCCTGAAACTACATGAGACAACCTAATAGTTCACTGCACTAGCTACAGTCAAGAAAATTGATATCTGAATTTTATTCTTTATCATTTATTTTTATAACAAGTTTCAATGTATTTTAATTAACATTATTTATTCACTGCTCCATGTCTTAACAATAATTAGAACTAGCGTACTTCTCCTAAATTATTACCTTTTAAAATAACCATTGTTCAAATATTCATAGAAAACTGCTGAGTTGACTTCTTACCGGAAATGGTGTGTGGTTGATTTCATTAACACCAAGATTCTTAAGATCCATAGTCATTTGGTTATCAGAGAAAAAAAAAAACGTTATTTCTGTAGTAGTTCTCCAGGATCTTTCCCTAAGGTTTTAATACATACATCACATTATTTTACTGATCACGCATCTACTTAGGCATGAAGAGAGATGACAGAGGGGGAAATGGTAATTTAATAATGTCCAATGTTCTGAATGTCATATAATTGTTGGCAAAACTCTGAGAGCTTCATCACTTCAGGTTTTTCATGAATCTCTCTGGATTTTAGTTTTAGTGCTCCCTCATGCTCTTTGAATAAAAGTCAGATTAAATTATGGAGAAAGGTTTCATATATTTTCATGTATTTTCTTTGCTTCAATATTATTGCCCCATTTCACTTCTTTTAATAGCTTTTCAACTAAAAACTTAAAATTATCCAGAATTTACTTGTATTAATTTTCTTGTTTCTCATAAAACTTCCAAATGTTTTGTTTTGAGAATGACTCAGTTTCTGTGGCTAACCCCTTCAGAACTGATTCTTCACTGTGAATAATTGCCCTATATGCCTGATTTTCTTTAATTTTGTATCAATATTAAAGGGATCAACCTAATCCACACTTCTCTGGTTTCTCTGTAAGAGTATTGGGATACCAGATATGTATCTTTCTAAAGAGAAAACAGTGCTGTCTGCTCCACTTCCTTCATTCATTAAGCTCTCTCTCTTCTGTCTATCTATATATATATATATATTAGGCATTAGTGTCATGATGCAGTTTTTAAGTTTTGTTGATGAACATATATAAAAATGTCTGCTATTATTCATAAATTTGGTTCACATATTAACAGTTATAGTACATGTGTATTTTGCTTTGTTATTGATACAATCCTTGAGTTCCTACAATGCTTTCACAAAGAAGAAAGGACAGTTCACTTATTTATCAAGTAGAAGACTTATTGCCTGGTGAAATAAAAGGTTTAGTTATGAGTTGTATGTTAATTTAAATTAATGGAAAAATGCCTGATCTCAATCTCCTCTATGATTTATATTACACAATACTGTCTAAGGGCTTTGCAACATAACAACTCCAATAAAAGGAGTAAAGAAAGATAAAAAGAGGTTTCTGTGTCTTTCAGCCTGTTTCTTTACAGTCACTTGAAAAGGTTTTCTATTCTTGGATAACACATGGGGGTAAGCAAATAAGAGCTAGAAGCAATAATTGTAATAAAATTTTCTTTTATATAATTTAATAATAAAAATAAAACTTTTTATAAAACTTTCCTTTTATAAAAATGATAATTTTAATTAAATAAGACAGGCGAGCTACTGCATAAGGCTTTATGCCTCTTTAATCCTTGTGTCTTCAGGTGCATAGAATAATGACCACCAGTGTGTCCAGTGATGAATGAGTGTCTCACTAGTTGTGGGGTCCTACTCTAGAACTCTTTCAACAGCATCTTTCTTAGACCAAACTCTATGCTTGCCTCAGATCAGAAGATCAGTGGGGAGAGATGTCTGAAGAGTTGTCTTTCATTACTGACTCAAAATTGTAGCTAGTTATATTGTGCTTACCCCACTTCCCATTACAGCCTTTGCCCATGTAGATACTAGAATCTTAACCAGCAAAATGATTTTCAGTCATAAGTATTCAAGTAATTAGAAATATTGGTATTGTTGCATTGTCTAGGTGGTTCCTGTACTGATATTTGCATGGAGACAGATAAAAACAATCTGTTGGAGGCAAATCTACACAGTTATAGCACACTACATGCTTAGATTAGACATAAATGATACTATAGATATAAATATAAACACTATTAGATATAAATGATACTCTGATCATAGTGATTCTCATGGGAGTGGTGACATTACTTTCAGTTTCTATTGTTTTAGAAAGGGAAGGTGTCCTTCTCTGTCTCTTCTTGAGGTTGTATTACTCTCCTGTAACTGGAATTTGCTCACCCTAGACCACTTATAGATGGCAAAGGGACATGAGCTTAGTGTGCTGTTATATTTTGAATATAAAGGGAGATGTTTTCATGTTGCATTTTCTCTTTCTTGAATCTGTAGTTTAGAAGTTTCTTTCATTTTTGATCCTTACAGTAACTTTATGAGAGCTAAAGGAAAGTTAGAAATGTACCATAGGTAAGCAAAAGGACTTGGCTGCCAGGTTATTCACAAGCATGATAGAACACCCAGCCGTTTTTTATCCTTGTTTCCTGGTTTCATTGTCTTTAAGGCAGTGGAAGGTTTCCTAGATATCACTCTTGGCCATGTTATGCATAAAAACTTGTTTTAATTACTTGGTGCTTCATGCAAACGTTTGTTTGCTTGTCCTGTTTTTTTTTCCAGTTCAAAAAGTGAGGACACAAAATTTTGGCCTCATATGGTTACCTTGTAAACTCAGCAGATAAAGTAATTCAACTGAATCTTCATACAAGTTCATGTAATAAATGAAGAGACAGCAAATTGCACTTGTATTTCATTTTATCCCATTGTACCAGATACTTTTTTGGGGGGTATTTTATTATGTTTCTTATGAAGACATTAAGGTTTTGACTAGGTATTAATTATTTATAAGAGTTTCTCTGGAAATTTCATCCTCCTCCTCCTCTTCTTCTTCTTCCTCATCCTCCTCTTCTTCTTCCTCCTTCCTTCCTTCTTCCCCTCCTTCTCTCTCTCTCTCTCTCTCTCTCTCTCTCTCTCTCTCTGTCTCTCTCTATCCTTCTCCTCCTTCTCCTCCTCTCCCTCCTCCTCCTCTTCCTTCTCCTCCTCCTTTTTGTGCTTGTGAACTCTTGGAGGCCTGTCTTTACCATAGTGCCATTGTGGAAGTCAGAGAACAACACTGGGCAGTCTATTCTTTCTTTCCTTCCCTAAGGAACTCTGTGGGTCTAGCTGAGACACTCAAGCTCAGGTTGTCAGGCATGAAGGCAAGTACTTTCAACCCCTGAGCATCTCACCCATTTGGAGATTATTTTAGTGACATGGTCTGATCAAATGGTATGCCATTTTGTTTTTGGGAAATGATTCCATGTTATGTTTTGAGAAGAATGCACATACAATTAGTTTTAAATTCCCGTGTACTTGAGAAATCTTTTACCACACTGAATTTTTAATATGGTAGCAATTATTCTAGTCAATTTCCCCAGAGCTATTTGCATATCTAATATTATGGGCTAAGGATTTAGGGAATATTTTGCATTTGAAAATGTATTTTCTTTTTCTAATTCTCTTTTAAAATAATTTTTAGTTCCAGGTGCAGTGTTCGATTTACAAATCACAGAGGTAGAAGCCACAGAAATCAGAATTACTTGGAGGAAACCTCGACAACCAAATGGAATCATCAACCAATACCGTGTGAAAGTGTCAGTCCTGGAGACAGGAGTCCTTTTGGAAAATACTCTGCTCATAGGACAAGATGAGGTATTGCACTTCCTTTTCCCAATTTGCTCAGGCCTTTCTGTTGGTCCTGGTCTTGATGATGTGGTTGCTTTGCCTACCTTCTACATAAAGACTTAGCAAACGTGCTACCAGGAAGTAAAATGAATTGAGATATTAACTAGATAGTAGTTATTTTAGGACTTATACTTAAGTGTTACTAGTCTTCTTCATATGAAAAATGTCTATTGAACCATCACATAGAACTAAAGGTACTTCAATATGTGAATTTTATTATTCTAATCCAGTTAATGAGTTATTTGTAGACAATGATTGTGATTTAAATACTCTCTCAGAGGCTCATAATTTAGAAAAGTTGCCAAAAGACCAAAAAGACTTTGGTCCACAAGTGATTCTGCCCTATCAGAACTTGAGAAGCTAACGGCCTCAGCACTGCCTTTTATTAGTGAAAACATATTACTAAATATAAAGAAAGTCAAGTGTTCAATTTAACATGAGAGGCCTTGGTCTTTTTAATACATTACATTTAAGCACAGTGGCTATCTTATTTTTCTCCTCTTGTCTTGTTAGAAAGTACAGGCAGCTGATGTGTGGCACTGTCTTTACTTCCCTGGCCAGGCTAGCCACTCACCTGTGAGGATTCTTGAAATCCCCAGACTTCTCATATCCTCATGTTGGACACTCCCTGGGTACTCTAAGGCTAAGTGTACTTAGGAACAGAGTAGCCATTAGAGATATATGTGATGCTTATTAAGAGATTGGCTTCTGTTGCTTTTAGTTCAAAATTGCTACTCTTGTACTATGTAGCACTAATCTCTCTTTCCACACTCTATTTCTAGTACCAGACCTCCTTTAACTCTGACATTGATTTCACCATGGTGCTCAGGGCTGTGTAGTTATACGGGACTTCTCACTCCAAGTTGTTAGCCACATCCATCCCCAGGTTAAACTTTAGTCCTCTGTTGTGTCCTTTCTTCTGTATAATGGATGGCGAGTTATAGGTTTTCTGATATTCTGGTTGGCATCTCATCAAAGAGCAGAAGCTTAAGCATTTGTTGCTGCCGAGAACATCTTAAAATAGATATGTGCTTTTCTTTGAACAAGGTGACTGGTTTCCCAAGTCTGCTAATGGCATTTGCTGAATGGCCAGAGCACACCTGTTTTCCTCTATAAGTTAAAAGGTTCTGTAATGGCCAGGTGGAGATTCTGTAACATAGTAGAAAGAATATTATTATTAGAGCCATTCAATCTGCATTTAAATATGGACCTGTCTATTGCAGGATAAAATGGTAAAGAGTGTAGGTGTAGAAAGCAAACAGTTAGGGCTTAGTACCTGGTTCTGCCATTATTGATGGCTTAGTCCTGGGAAAGGAGGACTGACTCTTTTTGCTCGAGATTTAAATTAAGAATTACACAATTACCTGTAGTGAAGTGTCAATGACGTGGACTTCATAGATGATGTGTTAAAAGAACTTAGCACTGTAGCTGACATGTAATAAGTTTTGTGTTAATATTTGTGACTTGTTGGAATTAATCTTGGCATTAGACCTTTCACTCTACAGGAGATTCAATTTCTAAACCCCTCTTAATAAGAACCATACTATTCCTATGTCTGTAAGGGGATCCTTTCTTCTTACATCAGATTCATTTCAGGCACTGTACTTTCTCATGTGACTGTCACTGTGCTCACTTTAGAACATTCATAGGGGTCATAGCTACAGCGAAAGGTCTAAACCAAGGGGCCTTGGTTCCTTGATCTGTCTCTGCTGTGCTTTACAAATGTGACATAGGACAATTCAAACTACAAAGAATTTCTGGTTCATGTTTAATGGGGCAAGTCCTTCTGTGTATGTTTATCTTATTGGTTGTTGAGTAAAGTACTGTTAGCCAATGAAGAAGCAAGTTAGGAGGGACTAGGAGTCAAGGAGGATTCTGGGAAATGTAGTAAAGATAAGTCTTGTGATCCAGGCAGGAAGTGACATAGCAGAATATAAGCAGGAAATTGCTCTCTTACTCTTCCTCTTCCTCCTGCTCTCTGCTCTGGAGCCACCATGTGATCCCAGGAAGACAGGACACATTCCACCGGCGTCCTCCATAAGTCTTATGATTATGGTTGATAATTAAGACTGAGCTAGCAGATAAGAAATCCTAATCATTGGACAACAGTATTGTAAATAATACAATATTCTGCCCACATGGTGGGCAGAACTCAGGTAGCTTTGGTGGAAAGATTTATGGCTACACATTTTTTTTTTAGTGTGTGTGTGACGTCTTTTTTTTTTTTTTTTTTTTTTTTTTTTTTTTGGGGGGGGTTTTTTTTTTTTTTTTTTTTTTTTTTTTTTGGTTTGAGGTAGGATCTTTTTTTGGTCCAGAACTTTGGTACATGGGCAAGTATGACGGTTTGAAAGAAAATGGCCCCCAAAAGGAATGACACTATTGGGAGATGTGGGTTTTTGGAGTATTATGGCCTTGTTGAAGGAAGTGTGTCACTGTGAAGGCAGCTTTGTAGGTCTCCTATGTGCTCAAGCTAGCCCAGTGAGTCAGACCACTTCCTGTTGCCTCCAAGTCAAGATGTAGGACACTCAGCTACTTCTCCAGCACCATGTCTGCCTGCATGCTGCCATGTTGCACCAAGACGATTATGGACTAAACATCTGAAAATGTAAACCACCACAGTGAAGTATTTTTCCTTCATGAGAGTTGCTTTGTGATGTTGTCTCCTCATAGCAATAGAATCCATAACTAAGGCACTCTGTATCCTTTAATTGCATCACTGGGAACACTGACGCATGTCACCATGCTCAGTTGTTTGTGTAGGTTCTGAGCACCTGAACCCTGGCACTCTGGCTTCCCAGGCATTTGCTTTACCTACTGAGTCATCTCACCAACTCATGCTTCCACTTTTATAATTTTCCCCATGTATCTTACAGGGATAGGAGTATAGCACAACAAATGAAAATCCATGGATTAATATACGCATTGAACATCTTGTTTTCTTGTCATGAGTATCTCTCAGGTTAAGTATCCTACCCCATTCACCTCCATTTCTGTCCCAAGAGCACTTTAAATCTTTGGAATCATTTTAGGAGTCACATGTGACCTTAATGACGGGGTTGCATATCTTTAACAGTTCTTATGGCATTAACACATTTCTTCTCTAAAATAATGTAATTCCTTTCCTAAATTCATCCTTCTACCCCATACTACACAGATTTTTTATGCCACTTGTTCCTTAATTCTTCATCTACTTTTTTATATTGCAACTTTGCAATGTTTTGGGTTTAAATGATTAAACAAAACAGCAAAGCTAGAAGATATCCTTACTATTTTCTAACATCTTTATAGAGATATTTCAGAGAGCTCTTTTCCCCCCTGCACTCTTACTTCTCCGCACTTTGTCATGCAATTGTGTTTGTTTCTTTAGTATCTCCAAGTTTCAGGTGTTTACCACCACTGAACCCCGAGTATAGCCCCAGTTAAAAATGATCTCACATTTTCAACCACTGATTCCTCTTTGCATTCCAGTTTCATACCTTTTGTTTCTGGTATTGTGAATTTCTACCCAGTGTGATTCTGCCAGGGTTCAAGTGTCTCTAAACCCCACTCCCATAAAACAAAATAACAGAAAACCAAACCAAACAAACCCTTCAATGAATAACAGGATGGTAGGGAGCAGGAGGCTGGGATCCTAGCAGCAGAGACTGTGTAACAGAAATGATGATTGTATATGAAGATTCCACAGGTCACCCAGAATAGAGCTGGTAATTAATAGTTTCGTATGACAAGGACACTGAAGAGGGGCTTACCTAAAGGTTAAGCACCAAGCTATGGGCTGAGAATTTCGTCTCTTGATCTTATTTGATTTTGAAAATAGTATTTCAAATGTTATTCAGAAGACTTTAAAATGACATTAATGACACTGTAAGTCTGCTTTTCCTTTTAGAACAATGACACTATTGTCCTCCATTCATGAAAATTTGAGATACTGATGACTTCCTCAAATTATGCTCTCCTTAGTAGCCAAGAGTCACATAGCCGGCTGTTTCTACCTTCAGAGTGTGGCTCTAGTGAATCTCTGTCCCATTTCTGTGTTTTTACCTTTACTCATCATTGAGTCTCTTTCCTAAACTTTCTTTGTTGTCTCATTGTATTAGTTTTCCACTGTTAGGTGACTATTTGACAGATTCAGCAGCTTCAAACAATGCACACCCATTTTTATCACAGTTTCTGACAACCAGAGTGTATAGACAGCTTCATTAAGATCTCTGCTTAGGTCTGCTAAGACTGCTAAGTCAAGGGGGTGGCTGGGGTGTGGTCTCATCCTGAGACTTGGCTGAAAGAGAGTCTGCTTCTAGGCTTGTTCATTGTTTTGGCAGATTTAATTTTCTTTTAGCTATAGAATTAAGGGCCTTGGCATCTCATTGGATTTTGTTTTTACTTGGTGCCACCCTTTACTCCTAGAAGATACTACAGTTTCTTACCTAGGGGTTGTTCTATCTAGCTTTTTACTTAATCAGACAGGAAGGTCTGTAAAATACCATGTGATTACATCCTTGACCTTTGTAACAGTAGCAGGTCCCATCTCACCAACAGGAGAGGGAAGAGATTATCAGAAGGAGGTAGATGACTAGTGGGGGGAAGCTCAGAGGTTGCTCACTGCAGATTTCACAAATGTTCCAGTGCCTAGTAAATTATTTATTGAAAGTAAATACATCTGATCTGAGAACTCATGAGGGAGATGTGTATGTATATAAGTCATCTAGTCTCTGCTTATAGCCCCAAATCAAAAGACTGTAAAACAGCCTAACACAGAATATAAGCATCTTATTCAGTGATTTTGGAAATAAACACAGAACCCAAACCAGAAATGGTTAAAAATGCTTCTTAGGAACAAAGTCTGGAGAGGGAAGATGGGAACAGGACATTGCTATTGTCATGACAATCTTTTATCATTCCTTTCATCCTGTTCTTTTTTTTTTCTTCTGCACCCCAAAGGACACTTACCATGATGAGAAATTACATAG